TTTAACTTTCTGTTTTACATTACATAATGATATAGATATGCATTTTATTTAATAATGGATTCAACAATGCAACATAAATTCTTTATTTTATAATGATTTATTAATTATTAATTATATAATGTAAATGTTTTAAAAAAATATAGTTTATTTAAAAAAATATCAGAATAATTTAAATTGAAATTTGTCAGCTAAATACTAACATAAAAGCATCTCTATTTATAATAGTGTCGTATTACGTCTTTAGTCTGACGTAATTGAAATCTGGAATGCAATACAATTTTAAGCTGAATCTCAAACATGACTTGGAATCATAAGTTCAAGGTTCCTATGATATAATTATCAATTCATTCATTTTCTATTTATCATATTGCACGTAAAGTACATAAAAGTACATAAGTGATTTATACTTATGTTAATGAAAAGAAAAATTAAAAAACTTATAAAGCGTATATAAAAAATTTTATATTTCAATTTATGATTAAAAAAACAAATAATATTAAAAGAACCAATTTCACATATTCCTTTATTTCCAATTTTAATCGAAGAATAGTATTTTCCTACTGTATCATCAGAGTTTTACTAAACTCTGTCAGAGGGGATTTCTATGTGAAGCGTCATAATAGTACAGTCCACATTGAAATACATTACATGCCGTTTTCTACATTATTGTTAGAAAAAATATCAAATATTTTTACAAAAAATATTTCGTATAATGTATAATATATATTGTTTTATATAACAAAAATATTATATCAATAATAAAATAAAATACTATTTTATTTCTCAGAGGTAAACTAAAGTACTATTATAATAGTTCTAAAGCAGATGATACAATTGTCGTGCGTGGGTGCGTAAAATGCGTGCACGATTTACTGTGCGTGATTCTGCGCGATGGGGGAAGGTTGGTGTAATGGGTGGGGTCTAAACGATGAATCCCTTCTCTTCTCATATCTGATTCGATCTGATTCGAGTCAGTTTCGAGTAGTCTACCAGTATCCTTTGTATTTAACGCGTAATATTACATCGATATCCATGTAATGGCAGCATAATAAGCATGAAGCAAATATTAGATACAGATCGTAGGTGTCTGAAAACTAATCAAATCTTTTGTAATTTTCAAACACAAATTTTCAAATCGAACTGTTGGGAACTTCAACAATTTACAAGAGTTCATTATAGTTTACAAGAGTAACTGCTTTTATAGTTCATCTGTCAAGATAACGAACGTATTGCGAAATTCTACTAAGAGGTGTGGAAATCTTATCAGGATTATCAGCGTTACATATGTACTGACCTAAGTTGTCTTGATTTATATCCTGTGTAATGTGAATGAATTTTGTGCCTGACATTTCTAAATCACAGGAAAATATTTGGCAAATGTACAGAAAATTCGCCCTTCGCCTAATACTTATCTGAATCATTCAACTGACCGTCTGCATGGAGGTTAGCAGACAATATTCTATTTATATACATGCACGTAATGGTATATAATTGTTTATAATGAAAATCCTCTGTTTCAAGGTGTTCACCGTGTAAACATATCAATATTGGAAATCGAAAATTTACTGTTTAGATAAAATGTAATTCGTTTATTGGTTATAATGAAGTGATTACATCCGCATATTTTTACACATTTTCTGCATTTATATATGTTATATATATGATATATATATATATAATATACATATATATTCGTAAGTAGAATTAAAATTATTAAAATTAACAGCATATTAATGTATCTAATAATAATCTATAATTAATATAGTTTATGCTAATATTGATATAATGAGATTTTATGGTTTAAAACATTCTTATAAATAATAATAAATTTAAAAAATTTTAAATATTAATTAATTTTATTATTTTTTAGGTATTATAATATATTTAAATAGATAAATTATTTATTCATAATGGAAAAGAGAAGTATCAGTGGAAAAGATATCTTAAGAATGGATGGTCTTTTACCACCAACTCGACGCTTACCTGTCTGTAATGCTGTGACTTCTACAGATAAAAAAAAAGAAAAAAGTGGTCAATTGGTGGAATTTTGAAAAGAATATCATCAATTCGAGATTATGATAGTTCTTCCAATGATGAAGAAATTGTATATTGTACAAGACAACCAAAACCTCGCACAGTATTTAATAGGAAATTACATAATGTTGTGCTTCAACCAATTGAAAAGAATTCAAATCAACATTTAAATATTAATGATACTACAAATTCAATGGATATAACAAACTTACAAAAGGATTCTTTGAATTCTCGTAGCAGTGATGGATCATTGGATGGATTAAGTAAAAAAGCAAGGAAAAATAAATTAAAAGCACGAGTAGAAGCAAAACGAGACCGTATTTGTGCAGATAGTAGTTCAGATGAAGATTCGCGTAAATCTTGTAATTCATTGACAAGATATCAAAATGAAATTGCTGCACATAGTACACAGAAAAATATTTCTTGCAATAGAAAAAGTCGTGCAGCACGTACTGAACGTTATATAAAACGTTTATCCAGAGATGAAGGTCACAGGTTTCCAGAAAATTTAAATAATATAACAAATAAACGCACTAGTCTTGATTTCATGAATGAAGAACAATCATCTGTTTCTACAGATGCAAATGAACCATTTCAATTTTCAGAACAATCATCATGCTATATCAATTATTCTAACAGTAATACTTTTCCAATAAAAAAATCTGCTGAAAATCTACGACAATCTGGATTGATTGTACCTAATTTACAAGCAAAATCGTCTACTGATCTCACAAAATATCCAATGAGCCAATATATAACAGATTTAAACCAAAATAATACTTATGCAAAACCAAATGTTTTATACAGAAATAAAAACAATTTAAATCAAGAAGAAAATAATGTTTTCAATTTATCTATGGCTAGTAATACAATTTATGTTGATCCATATGATTATACGAGAAATCGTCAGTTTGCGAGTCGAAGTTCTTCTCCACCTGAACCTCCACCAAGAGATCCACGTTGTCGAATTTTCACTTATGGTTGTAATTCTTTTCCATTGAATGAAAACTTTGATGCAATGAAATACGATGATACCTTACGTACTAAAATGAACAATATACATGAAGTTACTAGAGATCATGTAAAAAGTTTAAGATCCTATGATTCAAATAATGAAATCAATTGGTGTGGTTCGACTAAACATTGTCCACGACGTCCATTGTCTCTAACTGTAAGCTCAACACCATCTTGTAATTTATCAGAATGTACAAACAATAGACACAATTCAACCGGCAGACACGTAGATGAACCGATATTTAAAGAAACTGAAGCAATGAAATGTCAAAGGAGAAATGATCGAAATGATCAACTTACTTCAAGCTTTAAAAATTATGATATCAAAATGCGTGAAAATAGATTATCTACTACTTATATTAAAAATATGCATAATAATTCCGTTTCACCTATTAATAAGTCTTTGGATAGTTCCTATACGAAATCACCAATCAAACAAATTGCAATTGAAAATTTTTATAATTTACCGAATGATACATTTGTTGAAAATTTGAAAACGGAAGAAAATCAATTAATTAGCGAACAAGATACTTTAGAAAAAAAAGAAGTTCTAAAAATCTTGAAGAAGCGCTTTCTGAACTTGAAGCAATATATAATAGTCTTCGTCTAGGAGATGAAGATCTTCTTGATAGAGCAGAACGACGTAGCATGGAAGAATTTAATCTCCGTCAAGCAAAAACCAATACTATTTCATATATTTCAGAAGATTCTACAGATAGAACGAAAGATGATATGGCTTACAGAAGAATGCATCCTAAAGAGAGACCTGCATCATTGTCGGAAGTGGTTAGTCAATCTGCACTCTCTAATATCAGTTATCTGATAGCTTCGCCTATTTTATCACGTAAAGATTTAACCGATGATTATCTATATGCCGGAAATTGTGTATCACGTCGAGACGAACCAGATGTGACGCGAGACGATGTTGTTTATCGGAGCATTCAACATGCTAATAACACATTGAAAATAGTTGATCCTCAACCTCCATTTGGGATTCCTTTAGGACCGGTAACGGCTGCCACAGAAAGCGACTACTTACACACCACACCAACTAAGCCAGACTATCCTCGTTCATCATACATACCACAGTGCGAGCCTGACATTGTTACCGATGATTTGGCTTATAGAGCTCTCAGAAAGGATGCCAACACATCGAAGAACACTGTTGAAAGTAAAAACAGTATTATTAGAGATCAGGAAATTACTTTTGGTACCAAAAAGAAACGAGCGGTTAGATCTTTATCTGCTAATTTATACGGTTTAATTAATCATGATAGAATTCATCTTCGAAGAGAACCTAGTCTTCAAGAAATCAAAGATGAAATGAGTAACACTATAATAGATATTAAATCATTACCCACACGATCAGATAGGCGCGTTGTAAGCGATGGTGAACTTTCTGATTATGATCGATGGCATTCTGATAGTTTATTGAGAAACTCCAAAACTGACATAAATGGCAATCATCCAGTTACAAATGTAAATAGAAAAAAATTACGTGTTTATGTTTCACCATCGACTAAAGTACAGGATCTCGAAAATAAAAATGAGAATGATATAAGAGCACAAAACTCCATGATATCTAATGATATATTACCTGATGCATTGAACAATGAATTTTGGCAGAATTGCGTGCAGAGCAAATCTAACGAGTCATATAATCAAGATACAGAAACTGATTTCACAGCGTACAGTCGTTTATGTCAAGATTTAGTCAATTTAATTGAAGGACAAAATGATATGGAAGTAAAATTAACCGAAGAAACGCATGTTCGTTCAGAACTTCCTGTAATGGATGTTTCAAATGATAATAATAAGACGGAGGAATCCTCAATTTTACATATTCAATCTTTAGATAATCATTATTCAGAAAATAATATTGAAGATCATAAAGATAAGGAAGACATAGAAAAACAAACAGAAATTCTCACTAAATTTGAAAATGAAGATTCTGAGAAGACTGACGATAATACATTTGATTTTTATCTTCGTGTCGCAGATGAAAATGTTAAACTAATTGCAGAGGCGTTTAGTAGTGTGGCAGATCACTTACGTGATAGTCGTTTAAGCCAAAAGAATTCGCTGACGTCATACCATTCTGAAATAGAAACCGATAGTACAGCGCCCAATACTAGTACTCGTAGCTCCATTACTTGTAGTCAAGATGATACAAATGACGATTTGTCTAGTTCGTCAAAGATCACTGATATAGTAAATGTAATTCCTAAAGAAGATATAACAATAACTTTAAACGAGGACTGCAACTTGATAGAATCAGAAAAAGCAAAAACTGATTCGCATACCGATTCAAAACTCGATTTGTCCAAAGCCGTTTATGATTTACAATTAGCAGCAGCGAGTTTATGCAAACATGAAAAGGAAATTGAAGAATTAGAAGCATTATTAAAGAAGGATGCAACCAATAATATTTCTTGCAGTAATAATGTTTCAATTAAAAAAGATATTTCGTCATTAAATATTATTGAAACGAATTTAATGACATTAAACAACAAAAAAGAAAAAGAAAGCGATCAAGAAAAAACTGTAATATCGACTGCTGTTAAACCACAAATTGATGAACATGACCCAAATTGTGAAGGTGAGAGTACAAAATGCAAGGATACTTATGAATTGTATGACATTCCTCGTTCGACTGAAATGCGTATTTCATATGTTACTAACCTCATAACAATATTGTTTACTACATATTCTATGGTTTTGCTGGCTTGTTTTCTTGCACTGCTTTTAGCGACCGTAGCAGCATCATGATTGGATCCTTAACGACAAGTGTCTTAATGCATTTCATAATTAGAAGGTTTGATCCGAAACGTTGTTATCATTTTGAGGCTATTATTATTTGAATCATGTTACTAATGTCGTAGGTCTCCCGGCACTTGATCATTCATGATGTGAACCATTCTATACGAGTGCATAACTAACTGATATACTACGTCGTTGAGCGACATGGCAGGACGATTGAATTTTATGTAAGATCAAGTTTCTGTGAACTATTTCCGAAGGAATGATTTATTCTTGTTGTTCTTGTTAATATTGTTGGTTTTAATAAAGTTTAAATGTTACGCTGTTGATTTTATTATATATGGCATTTCTCATGTATTTCGTTATGAAAATAAAGATCTGGATTTTAGATTGTACTATTATATCCGAATTTTGAAAAACATAATACTATATTTATTAAAGTTTTATATATATTAAAGTTTTTTTTAGTATTATTTTAGTATTATTTATTTTGTATACAAGAATTTATTTTCAAATTATTTCATTTCTACGTTTATTTTATTACATGTTGTAAAATATGTATAAAAGTTTAGTTAGTTTTACTAAATATGTAGAAAAGTTTTGTATTCTAATATTTGTCAAAACTTTTATTGATTATTAACTACAGCAGAGATTAACACGATCGATAAAATCATTCTCTTATCTTGATAGTATATTATATTTTATTTTCTCTTTTACGAAATATTCATGAATATTAGATATCATTTTCTTTTTCATAATTAAAAATGATTAAGAAAATATTGTGTTTTTATTGAAATTATTAATCTGCATTATCAACGTAAAGAATGCGCGATCATATCGTAAGATATGTGGCGCATTGAAGTCAAACATTGATCGTATGTACTACAGTAACAAGGTTATAAGGGTTTGTTCAACGTCGAATAGTTATCGATTGTAGACTACTATGACGTCATCGTGGATCACGCCACATCCCCGCCCATTGAAACTCGGTTTGTGATTGGTTCACGTGTAGGCCGGCTATCTATATCGAAAAGCATGACCGTCGTAGTTTGTGAGTCAAATCCTTGAATCCTCACATGCGCATAAATTAATTTATAGTATATTATCTAATATTATTTATGTTTAATAGATAATTTATAATGATTATTATATGATGTCAATAAAAATTATGAGATTAAATGTGTAAAATTTTCAAGTATAAACTATTCGTTATATTAAAAATTGGCGGGAGATTTCAAATAAAAAATATATTCAAATAACAACAAATTTGAAAATTATATTAGAAATTAAAATAATTTTTGTTTTTATGCTTATGCTTTGTAATGTTTTTCAAAATTATTATCTGCAAATTATTATATGTCTAAGAATTTATGCTAGAATTCTTTCATTGATTCTTTCGGTTTGAGGCTCGAAACTAGCAAGATGGCTGCTATTGAATCGAGCATGTATAGAGTGGTCGGTGTTCTGCGCTGGCGTTGGTACGTGTGTGAGAAGGGTACGTTCAGTTTTGCCGAAAATATGCAGTATTCGCGAAACCTCAATGTGTGTTAGGTTAAAAATTTGACATGTGCACAAAAAAAAGTGTTTTAAATATAAAAGAAATGATAATATTCGAGTATTATTCGCGCGAATATTGAGCTGTCGCTCGAATGCGCATTACGTATTACCGCCGCAAGTATAGAATCGGTTAACAGTGAATCTTGTATCAAGTTCATAGTACAAAGCACGTGGTGTTAAACCGTTTTTGATTTATCTTATCAAGTAACAGTGAATTGCTGGGATAATTTTTTAATTGAAAAAGGATTTAAAGAAGTTCTCTTTATAATTGATTATCTTAACAAATGTAAGAAAATAAGATAATTTAAGTGCATGCTTGAAACATAAATACTTTTAATATTGAAATTTATGTAAAAAAAAAACGATTTCGTTCTCGACGTAACATCAAAAATAGATGATCTTTCGAACAGTTATCTTATCATTATATATCACATTTACCTTTTTCTTAAGCAATATCAAAAATAGTGCAAATAATATTTCATTATTACAAAATAAGGACCAAAGTTCAAAGATCTTCAAAAAAAGTTATAATTCACACATATATATAACTTCTCGTATAAATCACGATTCGAATTCAGTTCTTCGTTGATCACAAAGTACATCACGTCGTAGATCAGCTATCTCTCGTGTCCTTTCCTCGTCCCTCTTCTTTTGCGTATACACATTTATATACGTGTATACATACACATATTACTTATACATGTTTATACACCCACACTATTCTCGACCCTTGGATCGCGTATAGTGATAATTTCCTCTTTTGATCGCGGTGGGAAAACAGACTGTTAGTCGACAGGAATCGTCGAACTCGTTGAGAAGAAGTCACGAGGTTGAAAAGTTAAGATAGTCGTGATAGTACATAAAAAAGGTAAGCAATAAACTTAACTTTTTCGTTAAATCATATTTTAATTAATATTCGATTTTAAAAATAATATAAATGTTTCAAATCCATATGTTATGATTTTATGTTTGATACATTAACTTTATGTTAGAAATTGTTTTTTTGCATCTATTTATATAATGACCTACAAATCAATTATAAAATATATATATATGTACATATATTTTATATTATATATATATGTCGACATAATGTACAATTAACTCACAATTTTTAGTTGTGTGATGAAAAATAACTTTGGTTTACTGGTAATTCAAACTTCTTGAATAGTATCGCAGTAAATAGAAATTCAATATTAGACCTAATTAAAATTAAATTAATAATTCTTCATTTATCCTAAAGTGTGTGTGTTATCATAGTTATAGCATTCCACAAACAAGTCATCGATCTTTCTGTTAGGTATTAAATTCATGGTCAAATTGTATGCGGTTACCGGTCATGTATTATCGATAAATGAATGGATTATTATATAAGCAATTTTATGCGCGTATATGCTTAAATTATTTTAAAAATTTTTACCTTAAAATATATCTTATATATATAATATATTCAGTTAATATCTATCGTGCAACTTGTATTAACCATGATTAATTGTAAGAATAAGGAATAAAATTTTTAAATCTTTATATAACCTTACGTATAATTAGTATTTTTATTTTATATAATTTAACTTTTTTGTAATTTAGTCAAATGATAATTATCGTTTAAATAGCAATTTTTATTTTATGATTATTTTATCGATGATTGTAGGTTAATATTTTTTATAAACATAATTACTAATCTACTTTTCTACTTTTTATATGAGAAAAGTAACTATCGCGATCTTCACACCGCACATGGTGGCATCCAATATCACCTGATACTTCGTTGTACTTCAGGACAATAGTGTAATGCAACACATCGTTAGTAATATATATGAAAACAAATATTGCAATGTGGTTTACATCTATATTAGCTGATTCAACAAATTAGAAATAAAATGATAGTATTATTGTTAAAATATTTTAACAATAAAATTTTTACTTAGAATGGAATTTTAATGTTATCTTTAATAGATTTTAATATATCTTTATTAGAAAAGACCATTATATTTTTATTAGAAAAATTATAATAATAATCAAGTAAAATTTCATTCTAATCATGATTAGATTAAATTGATTAAATTATTTTCTAATTATTTTATTTTTTAAATTTTCATCTTTTCTTCTTCTCCTTTGAAATTATATTTAAAAATTTTAGTAAAAAAAGAAATCGTTTATTAATTAATTATGTAATTATAAATAATGTAATTATTATAATTTTTATATTATATGTTATGATTATTAATATATATCATATTAATTTTACATATGTTATTTAATTTCTTATTTCTTCAATTTTTTTTCAATTAATAGTACTTACTTGAAGTCGTTTCTTTTCATTATATAATTCATACATAAAAATTGTATTTTTTCAATTAAAAATATCGTATATTTTTAATTTTTATCTTTTCATCTAATATAATTAAAATTTATATTTTCTAATAACTAGTTATTTATTATTTAAAAAATATTAAAAATATTAAATATTATCTAATTTGTATTATTTATTATATAACGATTGACGATAAAATATCTAAAATCCATTACGTATTAATTATTTATCATATATTTGGTTATTATCATGATAATATTAAGTGATAATATTACCTTGGTGTATAAAACAGGTAACATTTTTGCAACCACTTATAATTATACTTGATTGAATTGATCAATCATTCTCGTTGATTATTTTATAGTAATCAATACACATTACACAACACATTTAGAAACGTAACTATATTTATGATCTCGATAGCGATCAATCATTTAAATATCGTTTCGATATGATTTAATATTTTCAGTGAACCATAGTAAACATAACACGTGATCTATAGCGCACATAACGTAAATGTGTATTCCATATTCACCTTGGTATAACTTAAGCGTAACACGAGTTACATAGCAGGGACCAACGTTCAATGTCGTAAAACTTATTATCTTGGGGTTTGCAGAATGGTTCATGCACTTTGCAGCTGGTTCATATATTCCAGCATTTTTTTACACACATCTTACTTTTGCGATGAATTTGATTCTCAAAGATTATTGAATGATTGCCAGATATATTTTTAATAGTAATTTTATATTAGGTAAATTTTTCATATAGCGTTAATTTATAATTCTTAGAATGATAGATTGTTAGTCGATGATAAATTATCTTTATCAAATGAGATAATGATTTTTTAATTTTTGTCTTTTTTATTAATTAATTATATTAATTTAATAATTAATTTTATTAATTAATTATTTGATTTTAATTATAATAAATATAAGGAATATTATTATGAATAATGAATTTCATTTCTTAAAAATATTGATTCATTATGCAAGTATTTCTATCTATTTTTTTTGATATGCTTTTTTTTCGATAAAATTGAATTTTGATGTATATATTGAATTGAACCAATTTTAATAACTCTTTTTGTTTGATAAATTTGATTATATATTTTTGAAAATGTTTTATTGTTATAAAGACAACTTGTATAAATATACTATAAATTATTTAGTAATTAAAAAAGTAAAAAATTACATTTCTTTTATTGCGTTTCTATTAATTATTTCATATCTTGATACTCAATATACATGAATATATTTAATTTGTTTTAAATATTGTCAAAATCATGAATAATAATAAAAAAATAATAATATCGCAGAAATAAGAGTTTGTGCTATATATAAAAGAAATTGTTAAAATAATTTTTATTTCTGGCATAAAATGCATAAAATAAAATATAAAAAAAAAAATTTGTCAATTCATGAATAAAAAACGCGTATAGGTTATTTTATTTATTATTTTATTTATTATTTATTTATTATTATTTGATATAAATAAAAATGATAATAATAATAATACATTATTAATACATTATTAAAAATATGTTGTTTTTAATAATTTTTGAAAATTTCATTTAATGATTTAATTATGTTATATTCTTTAATAATGCTATATGACTATGACTTTGAAAAAAAATAACTTTTATGAAGAAAATTTATATTACTAACCAAAACTAAAATTATATAATTAAAATTTATCATATATCATAAATTTATATATCCGTTCATTTATTTTTATATTAAAAAAAGTAAAATACAAAAATAAAAAACCTCTGGTTATGATAATATAATGTATAATAATTATATTATAATGATTTAATTTATCTATCTTTATGTTTTTTGTTATTAAAAAATCTTATTTGTTTTTATTTTTATTTTTAATTTAATCATTAAAACAAAAAATTATATAAAAATTAAGTTCATAAATTTTCCAATTTATTCAATATATTCAATATTTATTATTCAATATTCATTTATTTATTTATAAATTCATCAACGTGTATTTAATCTTTAGTAATCTTTAGTAAATGATTATTAATGATATCAAATTGTTTTAAATTGTAAATAATTTTGATTATTAATTTGTTAATTATTTAATTGTTAATATAATATTAAATTAAAATTAAAAAAAGTATATTAAACTAAAATTTATCTATATTCAATGAATATAGATATATAATAGATATATAATAACATATAATTAATATTTCAAAAATTCATTTTTTTTTTCAGTAAATTCAAATTATTCACAAAACTCAAATTTATATAAATAAATTGTTATTTATATAATAATTTTTTTCTATTATATTGTTGCAAACGGCTAATAAATTGTATATAGTATTGGAACATTTTATATATCTAATCTGTAACTGCTATTTTTTCTTATTTTTTTCCATGCCATTTTTTCTTTCGATCTAATAAAACTTTCGATATAATAAAATTTCAAATTACTATCTTTAATATTATCGTTAAAGAATAAGTTATAACATATTCAATATTATATAATGATCCAGACAATAGCCTTGATATAAACAGCTCAAAAATATGTAAGTGAAATAAAGAAATAAAATATGCAATAGTACCATACAATAGTGATAGCATTTAAAAAAAAAAATCTATGAAATTATATTAATTTCCATATCATTATATGCCATTGTATTTTAATAGCTTTATTCGTTCTGCTTTTTATTCTTATGCATAATGAGGGAATTGAAACATCCTTTTTTAATGATTTAAATTCAAATTAGAAACATGAATCAAATTTCCATATATACATATTCTATATTTATTATTTTTTAATCATTTTGTTTTTCCTATATTCTTTTAATTATATATATATAATTAAAAATTTATTGACTCATTTTTTCTGGAATTATCTTTTTCATTTCGACTTTAATCAGAATTCGATTTTCGATTATTATCAGTAATATAATAATGTCATTTCATAGATACAATGATTAAAATAATTTTGCTTCGAGATATATTACGATAAAATGTTCAAATCATCGAAACAAGAAGTTGTTAAAATCGTCATTAATCATTGTTCAATCATCATTTCCTGTTTCGTTAATTCTCATGGTATTCGATAGAAATCCATTTCTTGCTCGTTTACATAATTTGACCTAATATCAGAGGATGCCAGCCATTAGTGCTTCGACGATCGAGCAGATTTGTGGCTCGTAAGCGACCAAGGGACACATGAACGCTTCCCAGACAGGAAGCTAACCAATAGGAACGTTCCAATTTGTATGCACACGTGCATGATTCGTGGACATTATGTTTTATTTTTCGCGAATTCTTAGAAAATAGATAAATATTTACTGTTTAAATCTAGGTATCTAGATATTTGCTTATTTTTCACATGAAACAATTTAATATAATATTATAATTAAAATTAATTATTAATCTTTTAATAATCTTAATTCTTATTTCTTGATCTTAGTTCTTTAATTAGTTAAGCAATGAAATTAATCTTCAAAAATAATATTAGTATTAAAAATTTACAGAGATATTTATAGAGAATTTAAAGTTATACAAATTAATTTTCGGATTTTAAACAAATTTAAAAATACTTAAAATTTACATTATGATTCATTTAGCGTCTAGAATGTCATTTATAGTATAATATATACATTTTTAGTTGTATTTCTATTTTAAAAATAAATATTTTATTACGTTTCTAATAATGTTATTTCTAAGCTTTAAATAAAAGAGTGTCAGAGAGGAAATTGCAGTATTGAAATTTATGCGAATTTTGAAATAATTATGCATATTTTTATTATAATCAAATTCCTAGATATAATTATTTTATTGAAAAATTTTCAAAATGAGATACGATTTCTAAAAAATAATTAATTGAAAATTTGTATCTATATTACTTGAATATTTATAACTATGAACAAGATTAATTAAATGAAACTATTATTGTCGTTAAATAAATCGTTTCGTTATATTTGTTTTTAATAATTTTCATATTATATTTAAATTTAGATTATTGTTTTATAGGAAAATTTCTTTATAAAATAACTTGTCAATATTTTAGAATGAAATTATAAACATATCATGTAATATATATATATATAGAAATGGAGTTTTCCTAATAATAGAAAATTTTTCATAAAATATACATCTTTTATAAATAATATACAATGTAATATCAAATACTTTTATAATTAATGTTGCCGATTTCAGTTTTTGTTAAGATTGTATATTTTGATTGCAATATTAATTAATTTTTTTTCAAAATTATTTTAGAACTAGTTTCGCGTAATTTATTTTTTGAAATCATTTTATTTCCGTGAATAGATATAATATATAGAATATAATATAGAATATAATATATATTAATATTATTGAAATAATGTTTCTAATGTTTTTGAATATATTTAATTTTTTTCAAAGAAAATGATTAAAATACATGTATATAACATTAGATTTTTATATATACAAGAGGAAGTAGATAATTATAATCAGAGATCATAGATCATATTTCACTAAAAAGATATTCAAGATATTTTGTTACATAAATTTATTTTTATGCATAGTAATTGAATATTATTTTGAAATAATTTTATAATAAATATAATAAAATATATTTTTTAATATATGCGAATAAATGTTTATATAATGATAAGAAAAATAATAAAAAAATTAATGTTTCTATAATGCAAGTGTTGCATTATCTAAAAAATTTATTGAATGTTAAAAGTTTTTGGAAAATTTCTTATTATTGGAGAAATTGAATATTTAAGTAGTTCATGACACTGTAGTATTGTTCAAGGTTGATTGTGAGTTGCTTAAGCACGCATGTATATATGATATATATAGACGATAGTGACAGTGTATATATAGCATGATAGCTTGATCGCTCAGTAACCCTGTTGTCTATTTTCAAAGACAAGTTTCGCAGTCAGGATTTTTTTTAATTTATTTGCCATTTGTTTTAATTATATCAATATAATCTATAGATTTGTCAACAAATAAGTTGTATAAGAATTAAATTCACACAATTCATAATTCAAATAGAAAAAATAATGTTAAGAAATGTAAGATACTTTAAATGTTTGAAAAGAATAGAAATATTTAAAAATTGTTATTTAGGAATATTTAACACAAATATTTATAAATAAGAATTTAGTATATCTTTTATGTTAATTTTTTCAATGATAAAACTAAATAATGTATTTTTTGATTGTTTATAAAGAAATAAATGTATTCATACTTGAATATTATATAAGATTGAAAAACATAAATGTAATAATCATTCAGAATTAATTGGAAATTCTTAATCATATATTATTATTACATCTATTTATTATGAAATATAATATTTTTAATGCGTTTTAATAATGTTTTCCATTATTTTTAATTATATTTGTAATTTTATATGATTTCTTGACTTGATACATTTGATATTTTAATTTTTGCATTAACATATAATAGTATTAATCAACATATAATAGTATCAATCAACATATAATAGTATATATGTAAATTAAAATTGATAAATGTAAAATTAAATTATTTGCTGTTATTCGCACAGTAAGATCTTAAGTAAATTCATTACTATTTCAAGTTTTTGAGAACCAGTTTAACATATTCATAGTGGAGCTATGAATATGATAAATAGATGAGCTATAATGAATATTTAAAGTCAATTAATTATTATATTATTTGTATATAATTTATAAACAGAACTAGTATATTTTTAAATATTTATTACGATTAAAATTTTTATTGTAAGAAATCAATAATTAAATTATAACTTGCTGAAAATAATTACTATTAATAGTTGCTATCATTTGTGTTAAATATTATATTCATTATAATAATATCATACAGTACAATATACAATT